TACAGGGAGACAGGGGGATAGCAAGACAGGGAGACAGGGGGATAGCAAGACAGGGAGACACGGAGGAAGACCCTACCAGCAAGGTAACCGTGAGAGCTTTGGTGGGGAGACAGGGAGACAGGGAGACAGGGAGGCATGGAGACATTAAGGAAGACCTTACCAGCACGGTGAGCGTGAGAGCTTTGGTGGGGAGACAGGGGGAGAGGGGAATAGGGAGACAGGGAGAGAAGGAGACAGGGTGAGACGGAGGAAGACCTTACCAGCACGGTGAGCGTGAGAGCTTTGGTCGGGAAGTCGGTGAGCACGTCTGGGTCAAGCAGCACGTTGTTCTCGTTCGACACGGACACGCGGTTACCTCGCTCCTTCGGCGCCGACTCTTCCGCCATCATACCTGCCGAACGTGCGAAACACTGACGCATGTGACCACCGCCATGACGCGAGGAGGAAGTAATACAATGTAAATCTACCCTAGAGTCACAGTTATATACTTAGTTTGCGTACGATGAGTGCAGTAGCAGTGTACGGCTAGATAGAGAGTTAGCTTGCTGCACGTTGGGACAGGACACAGGTCAGGGTGGCAAGGTTAAGATTAACGTTAACAACGGGTCACCGGTAATGAAGACGATAACAGGATCGATCGTCGATTGCCGTTAATAATACGATGATAACAACGATTATTGCCGACGATATCGATCACTGTTGATAATATTGACTATTGATAATTTCCCCGTATGCTTTCGCCTACGACGAGTATCGCCGACGACAACGGCACGTCGCAGAGACGTGCCAGCAGACGACCTCGACTGTGGCGTCACCTAGTGGACGTTATGATCATCGTTGATTTTCACTTGTGGCAGCGCTAAAATTGTTTGTCGTCGCCGTGGCGACCGTTACCCGCTGCGCGTTTGCACGCGCCGCCGCTCTCTCACCTTTCTGCGCGGCCAACTCGGCTGACTTGTGCGTCCTGGGCGTCGGCATGGAGCTACTGCGCTGCGTCTTGTATAGAGGACGCCCTCCGGCTCCCTGCTCAAGGTCGAGGCTGCGCCACGTTTTCGGGCTGCTCGATTGGCCGGGCTGGCCGCCGCCCGGAGACTTCTACGTGAGAACGCGACGACGAAACAATCAGTCGAACAACTCTCGCTACTAGCGACCTCATGTGTAAGCGATCTATAAACTATAATTATAATTAACTATAATTAACGTATGTACAAGACAATAACCTCTCAACCTAGTATTAATAAATCCTTATATTAATAAAATTTTAAATTTTAAATTAAAAATTTTTTTTTTACAATCNTCCATTGGACTCCCTTGTTCAAAAGTTAATTTCTACCCCTGCGACACACATCTCGCACAATTCCTGACGGAGCGATATGTGATGGAATGTAACGATCGGAAGAGAGTATGCATCGGGGCAACGGTGCATGCACGAGATTAGTACGTTAGAAGTTACTACAAGGTAGAGAAACTATACGCGGCAGACGTGCAACGCCGCATTCTACGATAATGTTAGTACATAATTTTTTATTCAGTATAACATACTGCATGCCACATGCACGCGATTTCATACTACACGATAATATATCACGTGTTTTAATATTACATGTTATACACTACACATAGCAGACTTAGCAACAATTTAGTATCAATATGCTCTCTCTCTC